AGAATATACAATATTACATATATTTTTCATTAAAATGAAAAATTGATAAAACGTTAAATATTTTTCTGTATTACATTTGAAAATAATACAAAAATTTTGGCGGCAATTTAAAACCTAGATTAAAAATTATTTTAATGAGAGAACTTATTTAAAAACAGTATAGCGATTAATAAATAGTTTAAGAATAAACTTCTAATAATTAAGACAAAACGAGAAAAATTGTCATTTGAACCATAAAATTATATTATTAAATATAAATATTGAACTGTTCATATTTAACATTTATTTTATACGGAAAATATAAATTTCTAATTTCAGTCGCTTTTTGTAAAGTCATACACCTGATGTATCCTTAATACTTAAAGAACAGGGAACAAGGAAGATTTCGCGGGAACAGACTAGACACTCGCGTGTCCAAGACCGAGAGGTTCCCCGATTATGATCGTGGATGAGAGCTTAATCGAAAATTAATCCGAGCCGCGCGCGGTGCTCGAAACTTTACGAAGGACACGATTCCATTATCGCGGCGGACCGCTTTTGAGTTATCTCGTACATGCCGTTCGCGAGATACGCTCGTTTCGATGTAAATTGAAAGCGACGACGATCACCGGTCGGGTGACGATCACCAGTCGACGCGACCGCAAGAATAATTGCAAGATTAATCGGTCCCCATTTCACTCGATAGAAATATCAATATTCCATGTTTGATCTGTCCTTTTTTTTTAATTTACGTTCTTTCAAGCCGATTGTACATCACGCCTTGCCTCGAGATTAATCGACACGAAAACCCTTCCGGTCTTTCCACTTTTTCCCGTTCATTACCGTTTGCCTTGTAAATACGACGTTTTCTGAAAAGTGTTTGCTGAAAAGCATCGGCTAGATTTAATAAGCTTTCGCGTTCTGTTCGTTAGGATTTTAACGAAGCTTTCATCCGACGCGGATGAAAAATCTTCTCCGGTGATCTCTTCACGAGTTGGATAAACTCCGACTGCTTTTTTTTATTTTTTTTAATTATTTTTTTTTTTAATATTTCGGTATTATATATGTCGGCATATTCTAAAGAAGTTAAAGTTCCACTGGGTTCTTTCTGCAGACTTTTATGACTATTATAACGAGCTGGCTGATGTTAACAAAGTCTTTGATGTGAATCGACTCTTGGCCAATTAATGTCGTCAAGAAAGTCGAGCTCTTGCCACAACTGAGACAATTCCTGGGGCGCATTTCGCATTAGACTCGTCGAACGAGAAGTTTAAATAAATTATTCTTGAAAGTTACGACACAGGAAATGCCTCGCGAGTCTCGGAATTAGTATGCGCGCGCTTGCACCGAGAAGACCAACTATACATCAATATTAATACAGTCTTATATTTACAGAAATTCCATGAACTATTTAGACGACGGTTCTTTTAACTATCTTGTTAAATTCGTATTAAACTCTGTAAGTCTCCAGTACTGTCATCGCAAATGTATTTTGTAGATAATTATCAGAAATTCACGAGGCTTTTTATATTTTCATCGAAATAAATTAAATTAAATATATATATATATCCCCTTTTTTTTGCACTTTATGATAATATCTAAACGTAATGAAGGGTTGTGCGGGGATTTTGTTGATCAATCTAACAATCGACGGAGAAATTCCGGAGATGTTTGCGAGATAATCGATCGAGGGAACATCTCGCCCACGGCTGCGAGGGAGAAGGTCGGATAGCTCGTCGCCCTGATGAAATCCCCAAGAGCTCTTTTCATGCTAATAAGATTTCGTCGGTCGCGTCCAATGGATACGCGCCAAAGCGCGAGAGAAAGGCATCGCACCGTCGCCGTCGCGTTCGGCATGGAAGAGACACTGAGAGGAAGATAAACGTACAAAGGGATACTGATGCCTCGGCAGCCTCGGTACAGCTGAACGGGGGAATCCCTCGACATGGTACTTTTGTGTTGGCGCTATAATTCGATATTTTGAGCGCGATGCCGCAGGTGAGAAAAATAACGAGTTTTCCTGTAAAAGGATTCAGGAACATGTGGCCTATCCGACGAAATTAATTATCAAGTCCACTTTCCGTCGAGGAATAAAAAGTTGTCTAAACAGATATATCTAATAGCTAAATTCTCACTAGTGCGCACTCAGTATACATTAAAGGCACAAATCAGATGTATTGACGTGAAGATGTGTGTTTAATATAAATATAAAAACAGATAAATCGAAAAATCAATATTCTTTAGTGTGCTGTTTGATGAAATATATACTTTTTAATTCAAAGTATTTGTATTTTAATAAATTAGATCAGCGTATGACTTTATAAGTAATTATTGCAATCTTATCTTTTGCTTATTCTAGCAGAGACTCTATCTCTAGCACTTAATTTGTCATCCTTTAGTGGTTTGTACTTTTGTGCTTATTAATATTGTACATGGAAAGAATGATTTTACTGAAATATCTAAAAATTTAACTAGACATAGATCTAAAAATAACTTTATTAGACCATCAAAATAATTATGTAGGGAAACTCAAGAATAATGAGCAAAAAATTTTTTTATATTCTAACAACCAGTTTGAGCGTTCTACATAATTATTTTAGTACTTTATTGAAATTATTTTTTACAGATTTATATCTAGCTAAATTTTTAGATATTTTAACAAAATCATTTACGTTTTTTTTCGTTATTTACTTACAAACTAATAAAAAGCGAAGTTGTTATTGAGTATAATAGACGTTTTTTAGCATCCGGAAAGTCTTGGCAGATGTGTAGCAGATAAATATTAGTTACACGAAATGTAGATTTCTCGTATGCGATTCCACTGATCGTTTCACTATCGTTTACTCAAGAATACGAGAAATGGATAACGTTCACGTCGAATGTCGCCTGATATTTTCCTGTAATCCGTCGAGGCTTTATCGCGAACTTGCACGAGTAAATCCGCGTCTTCCCTGATGAATGCCGACGCTGTCGGTATCGTGTGCATACTGCATACGCGATCGCATCCCATTTCGACTAGCACACATTGTCGTGTTAAATGGAAACTGCCGACGACGACGCGACGTGCGTTGGTCTCTGGTGAATTCGACGAAGTACACCCGTCCGTCCGCTCGATCGATCTGAAGGTATTGTCCGGTGAGGAAAGTCGAGAAATGAGGAAAATGATAAACGAGAACTGTGGGAACAATTCGCGATATTGCGAGACGATGCCGGTCGCATTCTTACTCAGTGTAAAATGATAAATTAAATCGCAGTTATAAATGCGTGCCGGATTATAAGAATGTCATTTCTCTTCGATGTTCACCACAATATTAATCTTGAATGCTGTAAAGTATTTTACATAAATGACTAAGAGGTTGATTTTGATGAAATAAGTTTCGAACTGTTTTACAAATAAAGATAGAAAAAAATTAATAAGAAATAATATAAAATGGCTTTTTTGACGAAATCTGACGAATATTTCACTTGTTCCTATTCATACACTGAAAAAAATTCCTAAAGAAATATTTACTAAATGTAAACATACATTATTTGATTTAAGTTTTTTATTGCTTTCTTCTTTATATAAATATTTATTTATAAATAATAAATAAAAAATAATAATAAATAAAAAAAGAATACATATTTATTTGATATTGTATTTAAGAAAATGTTACTTAAATTTAGGAATTTTTTTCCTAGTAGAAAAGCTGCTTATAAATTAAATTAAATATTAAAGAATCTTTTAAACTTTTTAAATATGTATATTACTAATTTAATTGTATTACATTTATATTAGAGACATATATAGTGTAATATTATTTTATTAAATTTGCGTATAAATATTTTAAAATAGAAAATAATATTTTGAATCGCATTTATGTTGTTGTTTGTACATCATGAATAAAATCAGATATGTTTGTTTACACTATATCTCGAGTTTAGTTTTCGAGATTTTCTCGAGAAGAAATAACGCTGTATGTTCCCTCTTTCCACAGCGAAAGAAGAGCATTTTATGTCGTTATTGAACAAACAACGATATGTACTTAATTCAAGCTCGTTTACGAAAGCGTGACTACGCCTATGTATGGTACGTTCAACGTACAAACGCTCTCTACGTGAGAACTGTTTATCCATTGGAACCAGCGTGACATATCGATCCAACATCGAACACTTGTGCTGTACATAATTCGTCTTCATTAGTCATCAGTACCTCTATCTATCTATGTACAGTTTACTAGCATGTAATCTCTGTTTTGCACTATACACGTATATACACAGAAATGTGTATTATGCACTGAGAAAAAATGTACTAAACTTTATCAAATATTTGTTTGAACTAAAACCAATATTAACTAAATATTTACTTACAATAAATAAATATTTACTTAAAAAATAATACTTAGGTTGGTATTCATAGTCAGATCTTATATTCAAGATAAGTCTTAAGAAATCACGAATCAGAGAGCCATATTAGCGTCTTAAGACGTTACTTTAGATAGTCTTGAAATAAGAACAGACTATGAATCCATCCTTAGATTAATAGTTCTTGTATCAAATGAATCTCGAATTTAGTTTTCGAGATTTTCTCGAGAAGAAATAACGCCGTATGTTCCCTCTTTCCACATGTTTTATATTTAGTAAGAATATTTAGTTAGACTATTCAAACAAACATTTATTAAAATTTATTTTCAGTGTACATAATACATTAACGTATAAAATTGAAATATATATCCTACATATATTTTTCATATATATTACATAATATATATTATTATATTTTTCAATATATTATACAAATTAATTTTTAGTAATATGATTTTAGAATTTTATCATTTATAGTTTTTTTGTCTTAAAAAAAGTAAGATTCTTTTTAAATCGATACATATCTTTACAATATTTTTTTCTTTAAAAAAGGCAAAATTGTTTTTATTCCATATTAATATCTTTTAGTTACCTTTAGTACAAACCTCTACATATCATGTTCTCTGAGTACGCACGTACCACGTTTCTTCACGTGTCGTGAATTTCTGCTGTTACAGACGGAGCTGTCGCAGAATCTACAGCAGCTGTCGGAGAGAGCCCGCTCGACAACGGAGTTCATTCAAAGGCTCAAAGGAATGACGGATAAAGTACATGTGAGTATGGGCACGCCTTTGGCGCCCGTTTTAAATTCCGTGTCGACGGACGTGTCAACGCGGTACGGTGCCATGAAATTGCGAAAAGATATGGCATTAATTACATCAGTTCTTTGATAGAAAGCCGCCGTGCATTCATCTCTGATGGCCGAAGGGATAATTCGAATATACAAAGGATAGCTTACAATCGGTGAATCAAATTCCGACAGAGATTTCTTTTGATATAGTCTTCTATTTTCCCTTCTTTATGGACATGCGTAATCAGTTTGATATTAGATTTCTCGTACAATATCAAATCGTACCTATATTCGTAAACATTGTATATTCAAACATTGTCTTCTACATTCAAATATGTGTATGTGCAAGTATTAAAAAATGTACGATATTTCTAAAGAAGTTAAAGTATCTCAAATTAAATTATTTTATTACTTATTCCATGAAATTACTTATTCCATGAAAATAGATATATAGAAAGAATAGATATATAGAAAGAAAATAGATATATTTCTAGCAAAAAAATTACTACTGTATTTTTATAAAAATTAATTATTATAGTTTTCCAATTTTCCAATTTATTTTTCCAATTTTCTATGATAAAATATATGTATTGAGTATAATGATAGATAATTTCTTCTATACATTAAATATATATTAAATATACATGTAAGTTCTCTGCTTAGTTTAGAGAGTTTATTATGAAATTCTGTCGTGTACAGATAATATTATATATAAAAGTAATATTGAGTAAAAGATATTTCGCGATATTATAATCAAAGAGAATAATCCATTTCAGGAGGAATGCGTGGCGCTTGAGGAGGAGGTCGAAGATCGGGTAACGAACCTGGTGAGTCTTCTGCAAGCGAGAAAGTCACGGTTGATCGAAGCCGCTCGACAAACTAGAGAGGCCAGGGTACGATCGTTGCGAGACCAGGTGGCGAGATGTGCCACACACTTACAGGCGACCACAGCGTTGCTCACATTCTGTATCGAGGCGTTAAAGGAGACCGACAGCGCGGCCTTCTTGCAGATCGGCGGCATGTTGTCGGTCCGAGCAGCGACGGCCGCCGGTTCCTGGGGTGGTGCCGAGGGTGTACAGGAGATCGCTCGTTTGCCGTTGCTCGATCTTACCTTGGACGACAAACCGCTGCGCCGCGCCATCGATCAGCTCACCTTCGTCCAACTTAAACGTGAGTACGCCATGATGGCCGAATGTGGTTTACGTGATTGTGTAATGTCCGTGTGCATAGATTGAACCTGTCCATTCGGCAATGATCGCGAATAAATTTTATCGTACGGACGAGTTCGGGTTTCCTGATAGCAACTATATCGCATTAAGACGAAATGAGAAATGACATGAATTTTTACTCACGGTATATGTGAAGCAAATGAGCTTTTTGCACGCTACCATTTCCGCTTGATCGATTAGACTTGTATAACGTTCTGGTATACACGTTTCTTTAAAAAAAAAAAAAAAGAAATCGATATTAAATTTGAAATTTATGCTTGGACGAACGAGAAACTTTAACTTTTTACTTACAACTTAAACTAAATAAGATGTTCCGGGATAAACCTGTAGAACTTCGCAGTTGATGCTATTGATTTCATTGCACTTCCAAAGTACAGCTTAATTAATTGCTACGGAACTCAGTCAAAGTATCGTAGACCTATCGCGTGTACTAAAGAGGAAGTTACTTAGGAGCCAACGTGATTAGAGCTAACCAATAGATAATTTCGTTGCAGAAGCACATATCTGTGTAGTTTAATAATGAGATACATTCAATTCTCTACGATATATACATACCATACTTACTTGAAATATCTATAACATGTAATGTCATACAATAAATAAAATAAACAAGTAAGAACCTTTAAAAAAGAAATTACAAAATTAAATTAAAAATAGAGCTAATAAAAGTTTAATGCACAGTTATATTATATAAAATAATAATCAATACACAATAATTAATTAAATTTTCGGCTCAGATTTAAGCCATCTTCAATAAACAGTCGTACCTATGAAAATATAATTTAAATCATGGAGATTTCGTCTCAAGTTTTGCTAAATTCAAAAGTGCAAATTGGTTACAAAAGCTAAGTAATGACAGTAATAAAATTAGATTAAAACTTAAAAAAATATTGCTTAAGATAAATCTTTCCCAAATAATAACTTTTGATATTAAAAATATGTATTTCTCATTCAAACGAATAGCATGTGTTTTAATAATTTAATAATTTTGCAAACATTTTGTGAAAGATTTTTTCTCTGAAAAATCGCCGCAACAGTCGTTTGAATAAATCAGATATTTCTTCGTCATGATGTCTGAGATAGTTCGTAAAACATCTCGTTGGCTCCACGTCCTCGTTGGAAACTCATCCGCTTAGTTCGTTACGCGAACTGAATTGTTCATGATGGTTCGTCGAATCCTAGCTCGCATTACGTACCTACGTATGTACCCGCGATAAAACAACGAGCGTAAAAGTGGTGTAAACTCGTTTCGAAAGACGACTTTGTGTACGCTTAATTGACTCGTAGCTTCTCGTTCCGCAACTACCGGGATTTGTAGAGCGATTTATCTTTACGAGGCCGCGCTGATCGCGCAACTTTGTACGTACAAGTCTTGTTCGTTGATAGTCGTTTACCTCTCAAATCGGCGAAAGGAAGGTTACACACGCTAGTAAGCTTCGATTTTCTTGTTATTACGTAACTCCTGAAACGACTTGCAATGACAATTACAGTTCTGTTATATAGATCATTTAGATTAGTTGCAATTTTATGCTCTGGATCACACGATTCATATCTTGTCTTTATTAATCATTTTTAAGATATCTGCAAACTTGATAATAATCACGTGAAAGGAATAATAATTTTTTACTCGAATTAATAAGTTTCGCGATTGTAAATTAACAAAGTGATCAAAAGTGAAGGTATCTGATATTTCGATAAGAGACTTTCGAGCGAGTTTTGTTTGACGTTGTGTTTGCATGCAATGTACGTAAATGGATGCAAATATTTTCATCAATTCAATGATTATAAATCATTTTACTGTTGGACGCAGCGTCAGAAGGGGAAGAGCGATTTCCTACAGCAGGTAAAGGAAATTCAATAATAGTAAACGCAGTTGTAGACATATATTTAAATATTAGTGACACGGGAAAGGAAAAAAGAGATGAAAAAAATTATTAAGAGAGATGAAGGAGGCGTCAATCTCACCCGCCAAAGTAGTCTAGACGGCTGAGAGATGACGAGAGGAAAGAGTAGGGAGGTCTGCTTAATAATTTTACGTAGCCCCCGGCAACGACTCCTTTAAGCATGCCTCCTTGCTCGCCATGGCTTTGCCGTACACTAAAACGTTTCAAAAGCGGATTAATTAGGTACCGGCTTTGCAGTAACTGCTATAACGATCTGGAGGTATTAACTCGTTACAAGGAGACCTCTCCTTACTGTTCACTGGGTATACACGGCTCTTCGTTGATTCTGGGTGTTACAGACCAATGTCAGATCGGAAAACGTTAATCACATCTGATTACCGTGTTTACAGATGTATGGATAACTTAATAACGTACGGATAGAAGGATGGGAGTCACAAGACAGACGCACACTCGAAATTCAATTCACTTGAGTGGCAAATAAAATTATCGATTTCGTCGACTCAATTTGACGATGGAATCAACTCAGAATTGGTCAAAGCATTCGCCATTAAAATTAAGGATACCACGTGCGGGAAGCACGTTATATTCGCTCATTATTTTAACAAATTTAACAACCGCGCGTTCTGATTGAAATTAGAAAAGGAGAGATTAATGAAATACAAATCTTTTTAACGAAACCTGATAAACGACCATCGAGAAGGGTATAAACTCGCTTCTCTATCAAGACATTTCACTTTCGTGGAATCTTGATATAAATCGTACGGTGATATCAGAAAGTTTCTTCATTACTCGCAGTTTGCTCGTCAAAGAGTGGCACGCCTCGGTTCGTTAAAATCTGCGATCGGCAGTCACACGGAATTTCATTTACTTAACCCGGCTTTGCAAATAGCAAAGCGAGGAATGTGCCCCGTGGAAACTTTCAAGTTCGCGGGAATTCCGTGTAAAGTTTTCAACGAAATCACTCTAGCGCGTTTCCCAGAATCTAACGAATGTAATACATTAGAAAAAATATATGCATATTTCGTTGGATTACGAATTTTTTTCTCCATTAACTTTTTGAAACACAGGATTTTACAATAAAAAATGTCTTGTATAGAAATTATTTTTATAAAATATGACAAAGTTTTAATTTAATTATTTGTGGAGAG